CCAGGTGTACTGATGCACTTTTCGATGCTCGAAGAAGGTGTTCGTAACGGACAATCCGTTGTTTGCACAAAACCGCAACAACTTTATGCCGTTATTGTTGAGGTCGCTAAGGCCGTTTTTTTCATTCACGCCGTTCCACTTTTCCGCGTCTTCTCCGACGTGCGCCGTAAAATCGCCCATCAATGTGAGGGACTCTGTATTCGGCACTTCAGACAGAGGACACTGTACTTCCTCAAGGAAGGTCTCATATTCTCCCTCCAAATTGGGCGCATAGACCTGTACCAAGGTAATTGATTTAGCCTGTTGTAGCTTCAGTCGAAGGATTGCCACCCTTCCGCTGATAGCCTTCCAATCGATTATTCTATCTGCAAGGTTGAGTTCTACCAGAACGGCAACACCGGCCTGAGCGCGAGTCGTGATGTCGACGCCTGAGTAGAACATCTTCCATCCATTGAGGTTCAGGAGTCCAGAGCCTGGGCGTTTTGTTGGCGAGAGTCCAACAATGTCGAGTTGGTAGTTCGTGGCCTCATCAACTAATTCATGTTCTTTTCTTCTGAGTGAGGGTATGTTCCGATTTCCGACTTTAAGCTCCCACTGGTGGTGTCGTTTCCGTGAATCCTCTTCTGACGTGCTATAATGGCATGGCGCTGTCTGTCTCCTCCGTTCAGAACGGATAGCGACTCCGTTGCTGAGTGGTACCTTCGTCGTCGTTGCGTCGGTCTTCGTCAGCCATCGTTGTGCTGCCACGCCCCCGGCTGGCAGAAAGCAATGAGCAGGTTCTGATCTCCGACTTTTCGCAGTCTGCCCCAGTCCCCCAGCAGCCTGCGCGGCCCTTAGGAACCCGGGCGACGACCGATCCGGTATAATTTTCGATGGCGTCAATACCATGAGTGGCAGGTGGCTGAATTTTACGTAGACTTGTCACGGTCTCCAGCCCTCCTCCTTTCTCATCCGGGCTTGGCAACGGCAGTGGCGGAGCGGAGTTCCTATCAGAGAAATAAATACAAATACAGAACGAAAACTTTTTTATGCATTAATCAGTACAGTTAGTCCACTTGATCAATACCAGAAGTTTAGGTTAGTTTCTCACGGGCTTTTTTCAAGATAACGTTAGCGTCGCCGTGATTGTTTACAGCAGGTGATTTGTATTGAACAGGAACGAGGCATCTGATTAGTATATTTTTTCCTTTATAGAGGCTCCGCCAGGTACGACTCGATAAACCAGTTGTATTACGCCATGTATGAATAAACAGTTATGAATAAACACTTCTAAAGTTCATTTCCATCCCGCTTAATCACTTTAATGGTCTTTAAATGTTTCCTTTAACGTAAGGCTTCGAGTACTTCGTAGAACTCTGACTCTTTTGCTTCAATTTTTTGTTTCAAGTTGAGCCCTATAGCTGGCTGAGACAAAACTAGCGTTGTTCATATAATTAATGGTGATCGGAAGTGTGTTGGAAAAACACATATCACTCTCAGAGTGACAATTAAGCAGCACCATGATACGATTAGAAGAAAACGTTCAGAATATTACTGCATTGCTGCACATGCCTCAGACTGAAAATTATTTTATCATTGATAAATCAGCAATTTTTGATTGCGAAATTGACAAGCTATGAGTTCTTATTAAAGATTTCTTGCACATTGCATTCATTATGTTAAGGATTTGCAGCGACTACACGAGTTCTGTTGATATTTGTTTAGCATGAAATTTGCTGATCCCTCCCCTTCGTGATTTTTGTTCTCTTTAACGCTTTTCACAGATGTTTTGAAATTTTTTTAAAATTATATATCGCATTTTTACCGTATCTCTGTTGTGGATCACCCAGATGATGGCATCCATTCCGGAAATCGAAACGTCAGATCTACGTTTATAAATCCTTCACGCCTAAAATTTTTTGTCTTAATAGTCGATAAGATGAACAATTATCCCGTGTCATTATAACTACTCATGCTGGAAGTAAATGTTGCAATTTTAGTTGTTCGATCTGCATACTAGGTTTCAGTATCAGTTATAATATTTTTCAAAATAAACACGTATCAGTTGTTCATCTATTTGTTGAAAACCTGTGTCACGTACTGCAAGAAGTTTATTGGATTAAGATCA